TCTTTCTTTTTTTTCTTTACAAATGCTATCAATATAGATGCTGTTATTTTTATTATAGACATTAACATTAACATTAGCATTAACAACATTAACAGCATTAACAACAATATGTGTGAAAAAAGATAATGAATTAAACCCATTGGGCATGGCATGTACACACATGCCATACGCAGGAGCTTCTAGTTAAGTCTTCTAAATAGACTGAAAATAATTTATTGATTGTATATACACCAAGACTTTTGCACCTTTTGCACTCAAGTATTTATGATTATCATAATGGTACATGCAGCACCATATAAGTAGACCTATTGATGAATACAGAGATGATTCATCCCACAATAGCTTCCAGTGTTATGAATATTTTCTCTTTCTTTTTTCTCAGGGCACAATGTTTGGTTCAAAAGGAGACTCCATCTTCATCCTACATGCTAATCACATCAGTGGAAGAAGGGACAAATGAGTCTTGATGCATGTACCTGTTTCGGAAGTTGTCAAGGATGATGGTGAGGCCTTCAAAATTTAGCAGTATGTTTGTTATGGCAAGCTTCTCTGGCTGGCGATTCCATGACTTCCCTTTACGAGTTTCTTCTCCTGATTCTCAATGACCCTAGAGATGCACCGAGGAAAGATGCACATGATTCCAAGGGACTGGGATCCCGGCAGGTTGCCAGAGTGCGAGATGTTGCAGGAGGACGAAGTTGAGCTCAATGTGATGGATTTTGTAGAGACAGAGTACAAACCAGAGAATAATGATGAGATGAGAGTAACCAAAAGGAAACTCCCAAAGGAGAAGAACAGAAATAAAAAATGCTGGGGGGTAAGTGTAGAAAAGGTCAAGGATACAACAAAAGAAGCAAAAACAAAGAATAACCGAAAGAAATTCAGAGCTACTCAGAAGCCTCCTCCTCCTCTCACAAGATCTTACACTGATTCAGACTTAGCTGTCGTCTGTCCTTATGCAACATGCTTGAAAAATCTCTGTGACAGAGTAGGTACCATTCAGGACCCAGTACCAGAATCCTTGCCTCCAAGACTCTTCGACCAGCTTCAGCACCTGGAAGTCCACTACCCGTATGCTGCTCTCTTGAAGGAATTATATCTCAATGCTCAAGCTGATAGCAACAACATTCCGTCCATGAGGCCAGAGCGTGACTGCCAAGAGCTAGGAGTTTTTGAGTTGATGAAGACTCTTAACTATAAAACAGGAATTAAATCAAAGACCTCTAAACACAGTCATGCAAACACCACCGACTTTGAAACACCCTTCAGCACAATCCTTCTTGCATTATTCATGCAATATAAAAATAATGTCTCTAAAGGGAATTGGAGAGAGAGCAGCAATAAGAGAACCGGTGATTTGAATGGTATAGGTAAAATCTTGCAGAAATCCATGACAGAGCCACATGCTGAAGACTTGCCATTGAATGAATTGCATTCTTCTGCACTTTTACACAAAATATCTCTTTCTATTCAGCAAAAGGAAAATTGTATAGCTGGAGAATCTCGGCAGAATGATGATAGTCATAACGCAACTCCAGAACAGTCAACAACTGAGTCTTCTCATAGCGAAGCAGAGGATTTAGATTGGAAGCCAAGTAGATCGAGAAAGAAAGCAGCCAATGGATTACCAATACAAAAAAGGCGAAAATCAGAGAGAAGAAAAAAGAGGTCACAAAGTAAGCCCTGTTCTTCAAAAAAAGAGAGTACATCAGCAGTAAATGAAGACTCTGTTTGTATTAAGGAATCAGATGGTAAAGTTACACCAGAGCCAATAGCTCCTTCAAGGCTCTTTCAACTGATTATTGGCAAAGATCAGGACAAGTTAAGTAGTTGCCTTGAAAAGTTATCTGCCAGAAACCAAAAAATGATGAATGAAAAGAGAGCAGTTGTACCTAAAGACCAGGGAAAGATGAATGAATTAAAAGTGAAAAGCAAGAAAGTCCCAGGCAAAAAAAGTAAAAAGTGTCAACACCAACAAAAAGTAGCTGCAGCAGAAGAAACCAAAAATGGGGAAAGGAACTCAAAAAGGGTAAATAAGGGGTCATTTCAAGTTACAAGCAAACTCCAGGAAAGTGATGCCAGTGGTAGTCAAATTCCATTGGATTCTGAAGCCAGTGAACAACAGAGCCTTCTGAAGGAATACCTATTAAAGCCAGCCGGTGAAGAAATCAAGACAGAGAATGACTGTGATATGCCGAAGGTAGAAACAAACTTTTTGTTCAGCCGCATGCTCCAAAATTTCAAGATTTTAGCAGAAGCCAATCACTCTGAGAGCATTTTAGAAAGAGAACAAGAAACTTCAAGCGTTACAGATATTTTACGTGAAATGTTGGTGAGTGGGAACACAGATGGGGAGTTGAAGACTGAGTTTGACACTCACGAAGACACAAAAGATGACAAAAGTTTGATCCAAAGTGTAATCCTGCAATGCCCACAGACAAACCGCTCTGATAAACAGGATCCAGTCTGCAAAGTTGAATGTGATAATAGTGTAGTCTGTAAAATAGAATGTGAGGAAGACATTTGCAAAGTGGAACATGAAGAAGATTGTTATGAATGCCAAGTATGCCACCTACAGTTTTCATCTGCAATAGACCTCTCCACTCACCAGGTACTGTTCCATTGCAGCGAGGACCCTGAAGCTACCAGCACCCACATGTTGCTGTCCCACAGTGTTGATAATTTAAAAAGTAATGCATTGCAGAAGAAACTTCCTGCTTGATTGGATTTGAGACAGTCTACTTGGTCACTTGTGCTTCCTAGAGTGTACCACAATTATTTATGTGATCAACCTTTTCATTTGTTCACCGTGCAATATGTACAAATATTTTTAGGGAAAAGATGGATAGATTTTAGGCTTATGAAAAATAATAGATGTATGCATTTAGAGATTTGATTTACACAGAATGTTAAAGGCAAGTAATTATCATTGTCATCATATCAATATATGTATATTATAATTATTAACACTGATATTTATTTTTTGATGATTATTTTTAAAAAGGTACATCTACTTGATGTTGAGACTGAGTCCGTCCAAAATGTACAGCCAATGACACAAGTCCTCTCAATTGTTCTTTCAGAAGTGGCTGTTATTCAGGAACTGAGTGCAATTAATAAATAGATATGTAAACAACCCAGTACTTAGATTAGTAGGCAACTATCTTATTTTGGTGTTGTTGTTATTGTTGTTACTTGTGCATAGAATAATTTTCTTTCCATCTCAAATATTTAACATCTTATTGAAGGACCAGTCATTTGTAAAGTCACAGAAAAAAACTTCTAGGAAATGTAGGTGATCTATTCTTATATTCTTGGGATGTGTACAAAACCAGATATATTATTAACATATTGCAATCTATTTTAGTGTTAATGTTGCAGTTAAAGTGCTTGTGTGTTTAGAATTGTTGGGTTTTCTGAAGAGTTATTTAGCATGAAATGTGTAGTTATTGTATATTGGTAGGTGAATGCAGTAGGTATTTATTTTATTCTGTTGTAGATTTTGTAAAATTGGTACTTACTTAGCAACAGGAGAAAGGTTATAACAAATTTCTTTAAAATTAAACCAAAGAAGAATCATAGCAATTGGTTTTAAAACATTTATGATTTTATGAAAAAAACAACACTGATTTCAGCACAGCTATTAATTACAATCACTGTCCCAAAGACACTCTGCTAGGTGAATATTTAGAAAAAATATATATACAATGGTCAGAGGTTGTTGTGGCATGATAACGTTGTGTTTGAATTTTGTTTTGTTCTGTGCTGAAGGAATCTCTTTGTGTCTGTACATGTACTGTTTTCTTAAGTGAACTTGTAAAAGTTACATAATGGTAGCACCAGGAGAGCTTTTTTGTTGTAATTATTTAAATGTCTTAAGTGCTTTTGTGTCAGTACTTGGGTTATCTAAAATGTATTAGAACCAGTGTGTTTGAGAATTTAGCAACATGTAAAAGTGATAGATTTGCTTGATTTTTTTAAAACTTTCTTTTTCTCTGTAATGCATATACCCTATTTTGTAAAGTCTAAAGCTTATTCACTGCTAATTTGTGCCAAGAGATATATATATATGTATATTATAATCTGACCTGTGAGGATTTTAACTCATTGCCACTGCAAGTGTTTTATTTATTATGTTTACTTGTAAATAGCTCCAGAAGCACCAAGTCACCAAAAAAACAATTACTAGGACTATGTGACCTCACCTGTTTACCACATTCCTTGAATTTTTAAAAAGATAGGTTTTAATTTTTATGACTTTTATTGTTAGCAGCATTATGAGAATGTGAATAAAATCTAAAATGTCAGTAATTGTTAATAAAAGAAACAACAAAAAGAAATTTGAAGATTGGGATGAACAGGTATGATCAGATTGGCCTAGTGATCAACAACTTGGTAATTAAGTGCTTGTGAAGTGATGTTATGTGTAAACAAAATTGATAAAGAAATCCAATGGGTTAACCAGCAAATATGCTCTTTCAAAACATACAATAAGCAAAGGATTGTACCTGAATGAACATCAGGCAGTTTTTATTAAATGAAGTTAAAGGCAAGACAATCCAAAGAATATGTTATAGCACTGTATTTTTGAAGCTGGATGTTTCTGCTTAAGTGTTTTTTGATGACACAAGTGGTAGACGGTTTTATGTATGGCAGTGCCATACTTGATAGTACTTGAGACCCAGTACAGTTTGACCAAACCTGATCTTAAGTATTTTGTTTATGGCTTTCCAAGATTTCTCTTTTTTCCTTTTTTCTTTCTAAGAGTTCAGCTCAAAGAAATGATAATTCATATCCTAAGTACAAATATACCTTGAAGCCATTATGCACATTTTATTTTGTCAAACCAAAAAACATTCAGTTCTGATGTCAATGTTAACAAAATTTAGTTTTCGGGTGAACACGCATTGTCTGAATATTATTTTTAGGATTAGAAAATTGTCCTAGTTGTCACTGTATGTAAGCACAGATAGCCTTGTATTTTATTTGTAATGAAAATGCTTCATGGAAATGTAGTACGTAGCCCCTTTGTGAGACACTGTGGAACCTCATTTTTCAGTTATGTGATCCATAGAGTTTAGCTAATGTTAAGGGATATAAAAATGGACCGAGTGATATAACATGCAGCATACCCCCATGCCTTATAAATAATAAGTATGGTAAGTATTGCACTTTTTTCATCATGAAACTTATCAGAATAATCAGTAAAGATGGTGAGAGACCAGTGCCTTTTTTACATGTTACTCCTGGTTTTACAAAAGCTCTTTATATAATTTTAGTTCTCTATTTTTTGTGAGATGGGTTAACAAATGGAGGTTAATAGTCATCAGATTGATTTTTAAACGAAAGAAATACCATGAGTTGGGGAAAAAAGTTATATGGGCAGAATTTGGTTTTTAGTTTACCCTTTTTCGATTTATAAGAATGTGCAGTTTTCTATATCCTCTCTGACCATTTTTAGACGGTTGCAGTTATGCCAAAATGCCAATAGAATTCTCACATGGATTAACCTAAACACTACAGTCAATAAATCTCGCTATTTTCATGGTGCCCCATAAGGGTAAAAAAATGAAGATTCCAAAGCATTAGAACGAGAAAGCAAACTAGACTTAAACTTCTCTTTATCTCTATGTAGCTGTACTACAATGAAGGCTGAAGACATCCAACTTTGACTTCATTGTGCAGGATTTTTTTGTATACAACTTTGAACTTTGTAAACAAAAAGCTGTATGTCAGTTATCAGGCTAATGAACAGGATATAGAACAAAAAATAGGAGATGCCCATCATAATTAGAAGAATGTATTCTGGTAACAAATCTATGGTTCTGAAAAACAATTTTTAAATGAGATGGTATATTAACGAGTTAGATACCTCTAAAAAGTAAAATAGAGAGAAACAGTAATTGTACAATTAGGTTATCTAAGACCTTGGTGAAGTTTACAGAAAATATTAACCAAAATTAATACCTGTGCCATTAGAGAATACAAGCCTACCATAGGTTATGTAATTTAACTAGAACAATAAGAGACCTGCCACTGTTCTGGGGCTTGAAAAAAGACTGAAAGGTGCTAGTGTACAATGTTTACTCTTTGTGCATATCTTCATAGTGTATAATTTAGTTATTGCAAAAAACTTTTTTTTCAAGGTGTGATGTTTGTAAAGTTTCCATTTAATTTTTATTGTCTGTGGTTCATGCAGGTAATTATACATTTATTGAGTAATTCATCTTAGTGAGTACCAATATTAATGTGTGCCTGATCCTACATTGAGACTTTGAGTCCTTACACATACATAGTGTAACTAGATCTTGATTTTGTGGAATGAAAACAGTATTGTCTGTGTATGTAAAAGGTAATATACCTGGCAATGAAATAAAATTGCCAAGAAAAAAAGAAAAGCATGAAATTTCTTTTACCCAGTTCATTGTAAACATGCCTGCTATTGGCAGTCTATTGAAAGCTGTCAGAGGAAAATTCTGGGTGTCAAAATGACATCAAATGCAGTGGAGAGTTGTCTAAAATACAATATTTTTATGAAAGACCTGTTGTACTAGATTTTCATATAATCCAATGAGTCAAATGATCCTTGCCATAAATATCTGGTTAGTAGATTGCTAATGACCAGTTTTAAGTTGTATAATTCTGGGTAATTGAGTGGTAAAGAGTGTACTGTACTGTATTAATATTGGTGTATATTGGAAGTTAATTGATAGATTATTTGAAGTTGCCAATTTACTTGTAAATAGTCTTAGGTTGAAGTAATCAGCAAGAATATGATAAATTAGTAAACACTTTTGAACCTCAACAGTTTTAAAAGTGTTTGACCTTAAGAAATATGTTAAATTGATTGATGATAACATCTTATGTATCACATATGTTTCAACTTATATCTAGTAATTATGAAATATTTTTGTCTATTTTGAGATTTGTGTGGTTGCTTTGTTTCAGCACATTTACTTACCAAATCTCAGATTTTTAAAAATTATATTTTAGACAAAATTGTGTTCTGTGATACTGTAAGGAAACTGCATTAACATATGCTTTGGTGATTTAATAACATTGAAAACCCCAGTAGCAGAAATGTTTCAGTTGTTGCATTAACATAACTCTCAAGAAAATGTATAGCATGTACCAAATGAAGTAATATTTAAAGTAACTGGGATAATATTGCAAATTAAATTCTATTGTGATTAATTATAAAAATAAGCATGCAGAAATCCATCTACACAGAGAAATAAGCCAATTTTTTCATTTATGTATGTTTTGTCAGCAGGATAGGTTCTAGCTCTTAAGTCTTCATTGCCCGGCAGCAACAAACTTTCATATAGTTAATCAATTTCCTTCTGCTCTTCCCTATATTCTGCTGTGGTAGTACTCAATTCAGCTCCTTAAATTGGTTCTCTGTCTTGCTCTTGTGGAAAACTCCAGCCAGGTCAGAATGAAAGGAAAAAAATATGTGAAGCATGTTCTAGAATTAAAAAAAAAAAAAAAAAAAAAAAAGGACAGACTTCAAAAGCTGCACATTTTTGTTTGTTTGTGAGTTTATATGATCTTGTATGTTATCTTTTGTTACTATTTTCAGTATTCTATTTTGTATTTTGTAAGGATATTTTGGGGGGCTGCAGTTTGTATTGTTCTGATATTTCCATAAATATATATATGTATAAATATATATATAATTATATATAAATAAATAAATAACATTTTATTTATTTATTTATGTACACATTGTAGGTTTATTTGTCCACGTTAGATAAAGACACAATAGCAAAGATTCACATATTTAATGTTGTTGAAAATGTTTATGAAATGTAAAATAAATATATATATCTATATATATTCCTGTTAAGATGGTTTTGATAAACCTTATGCATTAAGACATGGTCCCATTTGTATCCTGAAAAATGAATTATACATTGTAAATTCATATAACAGAGTGGGTAGGAAACACAGATAATTTTCTCTTTAAGAATATGACATGAATAAGTAATGTATTGAAACAGGAAAATACTCACTCACTTGGATATACTGAATAACATTGTCTGTGAGGTAGCTGCAATAAGAACTGAAGTTTCAAGAAAGTGGAATTAAAACAATAGATAATTTTCTCTAAGAATATGAGATAAATAAGTAATTTATCAAAACAGGAGAGGGGAATAACCAACAGGGGTTTAGCTGTCTGCTGCAATAGATAATTTTCTCTAAGAATATGAGATAAATAAGTAATTTATCAAAACAGGAGAATACTCACTCACTTGGATATATTGAATAACAGTGTCTGTGAGGTAGCTGCAATACTAAGTGAAGTTTCAAGAAAGTGGAATTAAAACAATGAAAATGGATGTAAGGACTCTTATATAATTATTCTTCAGGTAAACAGGATGATTTAAGCCTAAAATAACTCTCCCTGGAGGACAGAAATATGTTTTCCATTGAAACCTTATCACACAATTAAAAAATAGAAATATATAATATCCATATGGTAAGCCATAAGTAAAGTGCCCTTTACTTATGGCTCAAATCTGGTAAATTTGGTAATGTACTAGAAAAAGCACATAAAATTTGGATTTTTTTTTCTTTTCTATGCTGAATGAAGATTTACAATTCTGCAGAAATGAATATCAGGCACTTCCAGTTAGACAGAAAATGAAGAATGCAAAATGTATGACAGATGACCTATATCTTACAAATGTTCAATGCTCAGCTTCTGATGAACAAAGATTCTCATTACACCATGCTCAGAGCTGCACAACCCTAGGTTGTGGCATGAAGGACCGCGGTGTTGGAATGTTTAAGAGGCCAAGCTTGCTACCTGCTTGACCTCTTCCTGCTGCTGCTGAAGCTGCTGTTCTCGCTCCTGCTCCCCTGGATCCTCTGGTCTGGCCCCGTCCTGCTGAAGATGCCGCGCGAGAGCTTGCACCTCTTGAGCGAGCTGTCTTGGTGGGACTGTAGGTGGTGTCTCCAGAGCTGGCCTTTGTGTACTTTCCTCGCTTTGCTCCCCCAGTGTACTTCCTTTTCCGTTTTACCCTGCAAGTAAATTTTTTTTATTTCCTGCTTTTCTATTCCTTTCTATATTTTAAATATAAATATATGTATAAATATATGTATTAATATATCACATTAAATTCAAACTCACTCAGTTACACACTACATGAAAAATGTCTAGCAGTGAGACTTACCCTCTGCCAAATTTACGAGTCAGGTTTCCTCTTCCGAAATACGGAGAGGAACTCGATGAGGGTTCTGGAGCAGAAACCGAACTGAGCCATCCAGTTGTGTCTCCATCCCCATCATTGAAACCTGATTCTTCAAATTCTGCATCAGCTCTATCACTCAGAATTACTGTTAAAAGATCAAGTAATTAAAATTAATAATACTGATGACTGATGATATTAGTACATGTATCAATACATATGCAAATAGATAGAGAAAAACAATAATATTAATAACAATACTAATGATATCAAGAATACTACTCATAATAATAATAACAATCATAATGACCACTATCCTAATAAGTGTAATCATCAACCAATAAAAATAAGAGTTATAATCATAATAATGACAATTTAAAAAAGTAAGTAGATTAATCAAAATTTAATTAGTTAATTTTGAAAAACAGTACCGTATTTACAACAAAATACATATAGAGATCTCATGATTCTGATAGTCAAGTAGAGAACATTCCAACTAAATCTGTACCCAAGAAATAAGCAAACGCACCTAGCTTCTGTGCAGCAAAACGCTGAGTGACGTCAAGCAAAGAATGACCATATTTGTCGTAGTTTGCTTTAGTTACATGAGGTATTCTGAGCATCTCTTCCTCGCTCTCAGGAAGAGACTTCGACATCAATCTGAAAAAATTGGGAGAAATATTCAAAACATTTTTGTAATGAATAAATTTAAGTCAAAAGACAAATGTGAAATCTTGCATTCTTCCTAATTATACCAATCAAAGCAAGTGTTCTAGCAAAATTTACATGGATGTTAGCTATGAAATATCAAAACTAAGCCCAATGGTACCCTCAATACTAAATCCTCATGTATAACAGTACCACCATACCTTAAAGCCACCATGTTGATAATATTAGTGTAATTGACACCCTTAGCTGCTGCGAGTTCTTTAACTGTCTGCAGCAGAGCCTGGTAACACTCATTCTGCAACTGCTTAAGCTCTTCATCCTCACTATTTGCAAGGTCTGCATCATTGGCATCATTCTGGTTGTCCTTCGCTGCTCCTTTCATCTCAAACTCAAACTGGATAAATAGAAGCAAAGTTTAAATGCTTTACATTATAGAGCTATCCACTATCTACTCATTATTGTCTTGCCTCAAAGAAATTAGATTCCATATGCACTAGTGATTAAGCTCTATAAATGATAGCTTTAAATATTTTTCTATACATCTAGGCAAAAGTATCTAGACTGACTACCTTGGCACTGGCATTGTTGAGGAACTGCTGGCACTTTGTTCCAGGACGGAGGTATGCAAAGGCCATTTCATCTCTTGTTATGACCATGTCCTCTTGTAAGTAGCTCTCAAGCACGAGTCTTCTGAAGAGGCGTTCAACCTCATTACGAGACCATGACTTACCTATCCCATGTAGAGGGTGTCTGTTGTGGCCTGTGAAAATGTGCTTTGTGGAACAATTCATGTCTACCCTGACCTTTAACAAATCACCAACTTTTAATATTTTCATTTTCAAATCCAAACATATTTCATAAACACTGCAACTACATACTCCTTTCGTTTGCCAAAAACTGCTCAAGCATTGTACAAGTCTGTACATGTATTATCTACTTACCATTGTCAACAATTTTCTTGGCTTCAGATCCTTTAAAGATATCAACAAAATGATTGATAGTGAAGTTATTGGACCACCTGCCACCTGTGCACAGTTGCCTCACTGCCTGAAGGATGGCTCTGACCTCACGAGTGACATCCACTTTTTGATACGATTCCTGTTTGATGAATCAGATGTAAAAAAAATATATATATTATTTTGATAAGAATACAAAATGCTTTTTTGTCCTAAAATGAAAATTTTACTTCTTCCACTATTTCCATTTGTACTCCTCTTGAGCATCACATAAAGCAGACATAAAGTAAAATTAATAAATGCAAAAAAAAAAAAAAAAAAAAAAAGGGGGAAAAATAGCAAAAAGAGATAGAGGAAAAATCTAGGCAAAGTTTTGCCGAGATATTCAAAATCTTTTTCCTACTGTAACTAAGACTCATAATCTCCTACAGTAACTAAGACTCATAATCTAAGATATACAAAAATCATACCTTTTTCCTCAGATCCTAGCAGCCATAAGGAAAATATAAAAATATCCATAAAAATTAAGAACAATAGAATCCTGAGACAAGAAATATCCACAAGTCTGTCATTACATAAAAGAATTTTAAACTACCCATATAAAAAGATTTCTTAAATTTTCAAAATCACATTTTTATCACAAACCTGAACAAGAAATCAAAATCATTCTCAGATCTCCTCTTATGAGAAGAAAAACAGTAACATGTTAATTAAATATAATTTTGTAATGAAACCAAATACCTTACATTACTGATAGCAAGTTACCAAAACTGTAGTCTATGTACACTCTTAACTTGATAAAAATGCACTATGTAACCAGAAGAATATCAGCCAATATAAACCAGATGTCAGGGTAAACCATAGACCTCAGTCATATTATATAAGGCACATGCTGGTATACCTAACTGAATTCAAAGAGTTACTTACATGATATTTACAATTATCACAAGCAGTGACTCTGTCCATCTTGCATTTCTCTCTGCTGAAGATTTCACCAAAGTAGTTGAGCAACTGTGTCCGTCTGCAATCCATCTTGTTCTCACAGTACGCCACCATCCGCCAAAGGTTGTCATAATGTGTCTTCTTGGCCTCCCAGTTCTCTCTGTCCACTGTCATGGGCAGAAATTTGAGAAGACAGTCAATCAAGTACTGATAGATTCATTAAACATTTCAGTCTATTTAAACTTGAATGGAATCTAATTTTCTCTCAAGTATAAACAATAAGACAAACACAAAATTAATAAAAAATAAAAAATAAACTACAAATATACATTTATTTCCATAATACAAATACTGCTTACTGTCAATCATCTTTCTAAGGCGGTGCATGTCTCCATAACTGTAAAACAGAATACAATCCGCAATCTCTCCATCCCTGCCTGCTCTACCTGATTCCTGATAATACCCTTCTATACTCTTTGGCAGTGAGTAGTGAATCACAAAGCGCACATCGGGCTTGTCTATGCCCATACCGAAGGCTATAGTTGCACACACAACCTAAAATAAAGAAAAGAAATATATATGCACATATATGGAACATTAAGAAAAAAATAAAAATTATATTTTCCTATTCTGTTTCCTCAGACCCTCAAACTTTAAAAATAAATAACTGAATTTTAATAGTTATTTACCTTAAACTTGTCGTTGATCCACTGTGTCTGAACGTTGACTCTCTGATTAT